TGAGATGCCAGTCCTTTAAAAAAAGAAAAAAAATTTAATCAGCAGTTTCCATCCCTCTGTAAGTAAGAGCAAATCGACGATCACAAAGGGAACAGGCATCTCTTTCATACTTGCCTAATACGCAATCAAGCGGAATGTCAAGCTTGATTTGTGCTGACACCCACAAGTATTTGTGGTGTAAACAAAAGGCGCGTCTTTCATTCAGATATCATAAAGAAATAGATTAAGAGGAATAATAAAAAGGATACAGACGAGACCTATAACAGGAGTGCATTGAAATTGAAAGAAGAGCCACCTTGGGAGCGGGTTGTACAGAGAACTGTCTGGTGACGCCGGCTGAAACTCCGGGTGTCCAGACAGAAGTGCTTATTATGGCAGTTTTAATGTGTTTGCCTTTACACATCTGGCTCCTAAACCGAACAGCTGTGAGGGGAGATAAGGAGGGGCTGTGAGAGGAGGAGGAGGAGGAGGGTCGAGGAGAAAGAGGAGCGGCGAGAAGAGCGGCGGGCTTATTGGGGCCAACAGAGGGCATTGTTATCTGTAATATCCATTCAAATGTGCCATATCAGATGCGGTGAGTGCGGCGCTGTTCATGGATGGAAATTAGTCTTGTTCCCCACTCAAGCCCGGTCACAGCGAGGGCAGATTCAGACAAATGAATTTATGCTGGCAATGCAGCACCGCTGATGAAACAGAGGGCTGCGTGACTGACAGGAACACAGCACAGAGGGGTGTGTTTGTGTGCGTGTGTGTGTGCGGAGAACTTCCAAACCCGCTCCCAGTTTTGTCCGTATACCACCGAACAAGAGTCAGCGTTTTATTGGCAGACAGCTTCAGGGTGACTTTCTCATTTCATTTGAACATGGCCCATTTAAAGCGTTTTACAGTTTGTGTAAGGCTGCCATGGTTACACCTGACACAAAAATTAACGGTAACCATCTATTTAAGAGCTGAAACTAATGTGATATCACAGCTGACTAGCTGCAGACTGCGGTTACAATACAGAAGATGCACACACACATACACACCCATGCGCTCCATCTAATGGTGCATTGGCCTTAATTTGATACACTTCAGCCTGCAACAGGAAGTTAGAGTGAGTCATAATCCAACAGGGTTTGAATGCACACTGCTCTACCAAAACATAACAGATTAGAGCAGTTTGAAGCCCTATGTAATAAATCTAAAATACTAAGAGTAAAATGTTACAAATCTATCAAATTAACAAGCTGGAAAAAGTTCGGTGCGCATCCATACGAGATGTTCTTGTCATTTTCTGTACATTAAATATAGGTGAAGTCGTGTTATGGATGATTAAATCATAATGTAATTTGAACCTGAATCCCCTCTCATCTTAATCTCTTTGGCAGACTTTGTATGGTGGCCAACCTCAGCCTTCACTGCCACGGTGCAGATAGGAACTTGGATTGTGCTCGCTATCATCTGCGCTATCTCTTTATGAGAGCAGGCCACATAAATCTTGTGTATGTATGACCTGAGCTTCACACAGCTATCTGTTCGGATTCCCAGTCCGCTTAGCCCCACCCGATCTTGTCTGTGCAAAGTCCAGGTGCTTCTAATACTGTTGCCCAATCGCTCTGTGGCTTGCTGAAAGCACTTGGCAATAGAAAGTATGAGTGTTCTGGACAAAGGCTGAAATCTGACACTGGAAATCCCAGAGCTGCTCTCTTTTGTCAGTGGATTTATTGTTTTTCTTGACTTGTGCTTTGTAGTGATAGCCACCATTTCTGCACGGTAACGGAGCACAATCACTCATACGCTGTCGCAAATGGGACATTTAGGAACAGTCCGCTTCTGTTAGCACAGCTGGCCCGCTAATAGCACATGACGGCACGTGGAATAAGTAAAACCATATATCGACATATTAGCCCTGAGACAATCCAGCCGTATTCTCGATTCCTCCTGAAAGGCTCAGCTGCGATTGCACAAGACAGGCCTTGTAAGGAACCGCTGACCCATCGACTGCTGTGATCCATGTCTGACTGACATCAATACACATTCATCTCTGCTTGTTTCACCTCAGGCTAGTAGGCCACAGGCTACAGTGGCTGGCATGAAATCTGGACGAACAACAGGCATCGCTTTGTCTTCCGCCCTCTTGTTATCGCTGATATCAAACACCAGCGGTAGCGATCCGATGGACCTTTTGCTTTGTTGTGAATTAGTCACTGTTAAAGAGCCCCGAAATGTCAATGTTTAGTATGTGCTGTATGAAAACCCCCCATAACACACCACTGTAGGGGGAAAGGTAGATACCCTCTAGAGCTGAAATACTGCCCTCTAATCCTTTTATAGACAATACAGTAGAAAAGGCTTGATAAATCCATGACTTGACACCTGATTCCTTCATACCCCCATAGTGTACGAACACTTAATTTAGAGCCTTAGATTAGATAAGTCCACCATGCTGATGTTTTAATTTAGCCTCTGTGGAACCTCCATTAATATATTTGTCGCTGGTGTTTCGTTCCACTGACTAAAGCCATCTTAAACCATCTTCACTTTACAAATCTGCATTAGTAGAACTTCAACTGCCATCTCTGTCCTCCCTTCTTCTTCTCGTTTTAATTACCAAGGTACACTTACACAGAACGTACAGCCAATTGGAAAAGACAGCACACTGTCTTTAGATTCCAAGTTTCTACAAATCAGGACAAAAAAAAAGTTCTCTGTTCCTCACAAGGTTATACAATTAGGCAAGATGAAACCAAGCCAAGATACAGGAGCAAGGTGTGAAAAACTAATTACGTCAGGGCTCAATAGGTTGTACAACCGCCTTCAGCAGCGGTACCCTGAAGTAATCATTCCTCTTCTTTACAACATTGCTTAAGATCACAGAGGGTTGTACACAGCTCTCATAAAATCCCACCACAGTATGTCAATCGAGTTGAGACTGGATCAGGCATGTTGCCACGGCAACACCCTGATAACATTGTTAAGATGGATACCCAACTTGTATCTGTCAGGTGTATGGATTAAAATCTTACATTGGGATTTTTGTGTGTTTTTGCTGTTAAAGAAAAGAAAAGTTTGTGGTGAACTTGATGATTGCGTGGTTTGCAGATCCTCTGGTTCAATCTCAGATTCTTATGCTCCACCATTGTGCTTGACAGATGGTTTGAGGAAGCTACTGATACACCGAGTTCCCTCCAAGGGCGACGTCGTAGAGTCTTGCGGTACATTCAGGTGCAGCTTTGCCTTAGCTGTGGTGCCACGTTGTTTTAGGGCCTATGGCAGCTCTTGTAAAACAAACCGTAGGCCCTACTTGTTCAGTGTTTTTTATAAGTGCACGGCATGAACTTGGGATCTGAACTTGCAAACTGAGGCCTGTGGAGTCAGAGGGAGTGCGGTTGCATTTCTTTAAGTAGGCTATCTGTGACCACTGCAGTGTTACAGTCAGGATAAGACATCCACCCCCTGGGAGGATTATAAACTTTAACTTCTTTTATTTGTGAATAGTTGTTCTCACTGATGGATTTCAAATGACTTCACAGCTCCTCTCAGATCCATGAGTAGCTGAGTTCCCCACTGTAAGATGAATGCTTCATGTCTCTCCTCCTTGGCATTGTGTTAAAACACACCTGAAGGCTCCAGTCCACCAGTGACAAAAGCCTCTGCTTTTGTAGAGGTTTGATTAGCAGAAGCACTTTCTTTACGACTCGTAGGAGGCATGGATCTCCACTAAACTCCGTCACTTAGCCCTGAAAACGAAATATTCCTCTACTGATCTGCAATGGGAGTTTCATTTAGCTCCCATTACAGTTTATTTAACGCATGTGAAATTCTGCATTCAGATTACTAACCTCATGCCGCTTAACTCACGTCTGCTTTCAGAAAGCAGCCGAAAGGTTGCTTTGTGGTTTTCATTTCATGCAGCCTTTGAACATTATTGAAGATGCGATTGCCGGTGAGTGGCAGCAGCGCAGGATGCAACTGGATCCTCAGACTGATGAGCGGCCTAATAGGCCTGTCTAATGTATCATCGATGGATTGAGTGCCAACTCGGAGGAGACATTTCAGAGGGATTCTAGCAGATGGATTTCATGGTGATGGGGAGCGCAGAGGAGGGCAGGGGGGGTTGACTTGCTCCGTGTGAGCCCAGACTGGATGTTGGCCAGTAGAAAGACGCCCTCTTCTTGCGCTGCCGGGATGTGCAAGAATGATTCATTCCAAGAGGAACACAGACAAGCAGTTATGCGCTTCACCGTCCCTCTCTCTCGCTCCCCTCTCAGCCAATCTGCGCACGGTGACGCTGCGCAAAAGGCAGGATCTCGTATTGGCTTCATCATCATATTTAACACACCCACCGATATTCTCACATGCTACAAGGGGCTCATTCTCTTATCCAGCTGTACTTCCAGACCCCGACCGGCCCAGCTACCTGTACAAAATTCCTCTTGCTTGGCACGCCTACCGCGCTTTTCTCGGGAGCCGATGTGAAAGAGAGTAACTTACTGGCTCGCCGCGGTGTTTTGCGTTTGAGCAGATTCTTCTCGCCGGGGACTTTCCCCTAAAAAAAAAACATTGAAATGTGACGAGCTGCTTCTCTCGCGCATTTCTCTCTCGAGCCATAGTCCCGGCCGACGGCGGACACGTCCAGCCCGCGCACTGACCGACGCTGGACGGCGAGACCCATGCGCGCAGGCGGCTCTCCTGGGAACGCGCGTCCGGAGGATCGTATTCTCTCCGTCTCCCAGCTGCCTCTGGATCGGACTGACTTTGTTTTTTTTGTCAGAAGGGGAGAGGGCTGCCCGTGAGGAGGATGAGGCTTGCGCAAATCGCCCGTCGGTCTGAACCCGCTCGACCCGTTCTACCTGGACCCTCGCGGATGGTTTTGCGCCCCTGAAATCTCGCCCCGAAAGACACCACCGACTCGCGCAGGACTCTGATGTTGAAAACACCAAGATTGAACGCTGAATCCTTTACTCAAGACGGCAAGTGAGGATGGCTCCTTCTTGTTTAACGTGTATTTCGTTCGATTGGCGTCCAGTCTGATAAACATCATCAGCGATGTAGTCAGCCTGTTCATCTGCGTGCTGATCATTTGCAGTAAATACTCACATCTGCTCAAAAAGGAGACCATGAAGATGATCCTCCTGCGCAAATTCCGGGTTCTGATCCTGATGGTGTTCCTCATCGCCTGCTCCATGCACATCATGATAGACTTACTGCCCAAACTGGAGCGGCACGGGAGCAGCGGCTGCTCCTGCTCGCACGCGCCGAGCGAGGAGCCTCAGAGCTGGGGCAAGCAGGGCTGGCCTAACAAGCACACCCTGCGGATCCTCCAGGACTTCAGCAACGAGCCCAGCTCCAACGTGTCCTCTCACTCCCTGGAGAGGATCCCGGTTCCCGGGGACAAAACGCAGGCTCTGCGCAGGCTGGAGCACCAGCGCGCCGACAGGAAGAGGCAGTTTGTGCAGGACGCCGCGGTGAGCAAGAACCTGCCGGTTAAGGGTTCAAGGCTCTCGGCTCTCTTTGACCACCCCCTGTATAAAAGATCCCTGCCCCCTCTGACGGACGAGGACACCCTGTTCAACGTAAACACGGACATCAGATTTGACCCCAAAGCGGCGGAGGACCAGGCATGGTAAAGTGTTTTTTTCTCCCCTGAACGCAAGCCTGAGGCATGTGTCACACTCAGACATGACACGGAGAGATTTCTTGTTTTCTGGTGTGCCTTAATGTCTTCTTTCATCTGTTGTCATGTCTTTTGTTGCACCTGTCCCACACCAAAACCTGAAATCCCCCCCCCCTGTCTGCCTCCCTCCCATTTGTCCTTCTTCTTCATCCTCCAATGCAGGAATGGGGAGGGCCATGTGGGGGAGTTCAGCCCAACAGGGATGCTGACGGCAGATTCCTACCCCAACTGGCTCCGCTTTCACATTGGGATTAATCGATATGAGCTGTACTCCAGACACAACCCCGTCATCGAAGCCCTTCTGAAAGACCTGCTGACCCAGAGGATCACCAGTGTGGGTGAGTCACAATAATTGGCACAAGCCACTCAGAAGGCTTCAACATATAGATGGAGAATCTAAAAAATGACCAAAAATATATACTCGCTGCTCTCTGGACATTTATTTTTGGTTAACACAAATCAGCATGACCTGAATTTATATTTTGGGATGTTCCGATTTAGGAAAAAGGATCCAAAATTAAGTACATGTATTAAAGCCATCTAAAACAGTGTAATAGTAGTAAAGAGACAGTATATGTAATTATATAACTGAATTCAAATCAGCTTTAAAAAAAAAAACACTCTTTTTTTCCCCCAGCCCACTAAGCCTCTGAGATACAATGGCTGACTTTGCTCTAACTGAACGATGTTAAACTAACCACAAATCGTAAAAATAAGCCTCAATGATTAGAAGTCGCCCAATCTGGTAACACTGAGTGTCAGTGCAAAGCCAAAGCTGAACGTTTTCACCCTGCTGTAATAGGAGCTGTTGGTAAAGAGTCAGGGGAATGTGGACGAGCGCCACGCACAAACACACGAGTGCAGGTAAAGATGGACGTAAGCTGCAGGTCAGCGTCTGACCAGCCTGCACACGGTGGCCTTTACAAGGCCTGAGTGATACTTTATAACCTGATCCTCGCTGTCCACAAAGCGCCACGGTGGAATAACCGAGCCTCAGGGGACACCTGTGCTGGATGCAAATCCCTCTGCCACATTGCAGTTGAATTCAAATCAATTGGAACATGGCTATGAACAGAGCACCATGACCCATGCACAATGACCAGTGCTTTCTGGCACTGTTAAACTGAGTCTGCTTTAAAAAAAAGAATGCTGAGAGGATTGTTTTCCCTCTTGGCTGTGTACAGCTGACACATTCCAAGAGTGCTTGTCGACTCAAGGTTGCCCACATTGAGCTTGCTGTAAAAAAAAAAAACAACCTATCAGGGTTATTCACCTATGACAAAAATGCCAATAGCAGATTAAATTAAACTAAGCTTATGATTATCTGTTTGAAATGTAGCTTACCTGCTTGGAAAGAAATACATTTTTCCTTTTTTTCTCTTTTCTAGTCAAGCAACTGACTAATTATCTTAGATTTTCTTCCTCTTATTTTCGGCCTGTCAGCCTGGGTGGATAGGGAAAGCGGTTCTCAGCATCTCTTGCCAGCTAACTACATGGTGGCTCAGTAATTACAGGGCCTTAACACAGGCCTGGGGCTGAATACCAATAGAACCCAGCAGCAATTGTCCATTATCTAAACTTTAAGTATAGGAAAGCTCGGATGTATTATAGTTTAAAGCCTCAGCTCAGCTGGCTGAGCTGCAGATATGATAAATGATGTTGAAGCTGACTGGAAGAATCAGTGACTTTGACAGTCAAAGTGCACAACTCCAAGCTGAGCCTGAGGTCAAAGCCTCTGCAACAGCAAGTCACAACAAATAAGGGTAGCTCACGGCGTGTGAGTTACAAGGGAATGCAATCACGGCCCCCTCATGCACACGTTCCCAGCAGCACTAGTTGGAAGGACATTTTATTTGCAAAGACTCAAACCTCAACATGAAGCATTCAAAACTTTGCTCGGCAACACGTGAGGGCAGATAGACATTGATCTCTCTTTTTTTTTCTCCCCCTCTACACAGTTTGCTTTGTCTCGTCGGCTCCCATATGTAAAAATAATTGAAAACATTGATTGAGAAGTCTGTTCCGTGTCAAAACTCCCACCAAAACACGGCAGCCAATCGATCAGTGCAGAGACAACGTGCACGCGGACTGCTTTGTTCTGTCTGTGAAATTCAGTGTGTTTTGAGCCGCTGCAACCCTGTCCCAGGAGTGCCTTTAGACTCAATGCCATGTTCAAAAAGGGAGAAAAAACACGAAGGATGGAAGGATGAATAAAAACACGAATCGACAGATGGGGGGGAGAGAAAGATAGGCCCTCAAGAGGAAACAGGGAGAGAGTAAACAGCAGAGGAACAGGGAGCGAGCACTGGCTGTCCTTCCCTGAACCCCCACTATCATTTCTCATCAAACAAACACTGTGACATCAGATTTCAGTCTTTTCAGACCTCAAGATCACACACACACACACACACACACACACAAACACAGATGCAGATTCGCTACTGCACAAACTCAGGCGTACGCGCTCAACAGTGGACGTCCACAGTGTGACAGGAAATTTGATGTGCCATGAAATATTTGTAAAATTGCAGTCAAATAAGTGACCATAAAATGATAATGATGATAAATGAAATGCTGTACATTTGTCTGCGAGTATATTTGAATGAATCAGACATTGAAAAAACAAGTCAAACTGTTTTTTGGGGGTATTTATTTGTATTCACTTGTTGGAATTATTTAAGAAAAAAAAAGGAAATAGCTTTTATTCATCATATGTAAAAAGCTGCTGAAAATGTAGAATAATCACCAATTGCCAGCGGTCAGTAAAGGTCTGAGTCTTATTGACCGGGGTGATAAAATAACTTTTTTTCTTCTTTTTTAAAAATCCATACTTCCCGCAGTGTTATGATAATGAAAAAATGCTTCCTGGAATAATTTCTGGCTTGTCAGCTCAAGTCCACCAGTAATGGAATCTCTGTTGGTCATTTCACCATTTCACCATCGGCCACACTTGCTGGGATGTTTCTTAGTAAAGGAACATGCATGCACAGAAAGAGTATGAAGATAAACTCTATGATAAGTCAACATGAAGAGATGTCTTTCATGATAATGGCAATGCTCTGATGCAGGGTATAATTAACATAACTGGCTAAATTTGAGCCCCAGGAGGTAAAACCTACCAGCAGCTGCTGTACTTTCAACTGTGCTAAGCTTCAAACTTGGGTGGGCAAAACAGAGAAGATGGTCTAAAAAAGAATTAGAAAGAACAATGCATTTAATTCCGTATTTCATTTCCACTTTGGAGCATTTGACAACAATGAAAATGACTCATTTTTACCTTGATGATGTGTTAAACAAGCAGCAAACACTATGTCAACATTTCCCATTTAAATTGCTCTCCAATAATTAGGGTTTCAAAATCACGCACTTAAGGAAAAATGGAATTATTCGCTGGAAACTGAAGCACCAATCCTGTCTCTCGTGTGTAGCTTTGTCACAAATAGTCACTGGGGATTTATTTACAGTGTAGCATATAGCAGGCCACTATTAACCATGTGCAAATGCCAATTTGAAGGCTCTTGTCATTCGTATTGCTTCATCTCTCTTCAGTGCGAAAGTATCTGCTTCAGATTTACATACACGTGCAGTATGTATGCAGTTGGGATTATGTAAAAGGATCTGAACTTCTTCAATCCGTCTGTTTGTGGAAAGCAACTAAACATTTTCCAGATCACGAGGAACACATACACCTGCAGTTATGATCCCCTAAATGCGCTAGGCGCCATTGGGTGAGCAAGGACAAAAATTAGGCAATTGTCTATGGAAAAAGGCAATAAATGTGAGTCAGGATTATTTTAAACCCACAGCATGGGTGTCATTATTGGCTCAGCCCTGATCTGCAACAGTCATCCCAAGTCAGTTACAAAATTGGCCCATTGTTACTCTAAGGATATTTCAAGGATTAATGAACCAAAGTTTAGAAAAGTTGTCCACACACATGTCTTTTATTAACAGGATTACTGTATCTCTGTAAGTAATGGCCTGCCCATTACACTGGTCAGACAGCTGCAGCTGATTCAGAATGCTGCTGCTCGAGTCTTCATTAAGAACAGAAAAGTGGATCATATCATTCCAGGTTTTAGGTCTATAAACTGGCTTCATGTCTGTAAACAGTTTGAGGCAAAAACTCACTTCAGATCTTCTTATATTTTATGAAGCTTCCAGGCATCTTGGGTCAAACGGAATGTGTTTACTTTCGGTAATAAGATTGGAGAAGTTGATTTCAGTTTTCATGCATCTTATACTGTAATTGTGACTCCTGTCAGTTACCATAATGATGTGTTCTTTTTTTAATCCAACAGCGATGAAGTCTGGAGGCACCCAGCTGAAGCTCATCATGACTTTTCAGAACTATGGCCAGGCCCTGTTCAAACCCATGAAGTAAGTGGTTCTTCTTCTCAGCATAAATGCATTTTGTGTGTAACGTGCTGGGAGACAGTTCTTTTGCTGACCCGGCTTTCCTTCCATTTAAGTACACATCTCATCCTGCTCCGCCATGCAGAAAGTTCAGTGTCAAGTCCATTCTCTTTAAGAAAAGCCATTCTGGAGGGCCATCTCAGTGTAAAACACCAGCTATGCAGCTTTAGGCCTTTGCCGCCTTCCTTTTTTGCATCTTACCACCTATTCAATCTCCTCACAACATCAATCTCATTTCCCCTTTCGCTTCTCTCGCAAGATCAAATAGCCTCCATTTCCGCACAACCTTGATATTTGATTGAAGGCCAACATCATTCCACTGTATCATACCCAAACATTAAATTGGCATTTCACCTCACCGGGTTCTTGGGTGACACATCACATCTTTTGTATTGGATGTCCTTCGGTCCCAGGCATAACTGTACAGTTTCATCCCTGTACTTTTGTTCTTTGAAAATGTCCTATGAGATTCTTTTTTTGTGATTCTGATTTGTTAAGCTTAGTTTTTTCTGTATGTTAACTGCTCGTTGGTAACACGTTCTTTAACTTTGAGCTTGACTAACAGCACAGCTCTAGGACTAGCAACAATGGCTGAATGTCTCTCTTAGTGCAGGATTAGAGTTAGAGGATGAGGAGAATGAGTCGGAGGATGTTAAGGATACAGATATCTGTGGTACCCAGAGGTTGAATACTAATGACATGAGTGATCCATGGACTTATCGTACAGTGCCAACAGCGTGTCAAAAATGTTCATTTATTCACTGAAATATCTCAACACATTCTAAATGACTTACAACGTTCACAGTGCCCAGAGGAGAAATCCCAATGATTTGGGTGATTACACGACTTTCCCTGTAGTATAACGATGGTTGTTAAATATTGAACAGATTGATATGGATTTGCCTCAGAAATTCATGTCCCTTTTAAGATGAACTGCATTTACTTTTGTCATTTTGGTTCATTAAAACAACAGTCTTCTCCTCGCGCCTGTATCAACGTGTAAAAACGTAAAGAACTGAATAGTATTGTTGCCACCCAAATCCTCATAATAATTTAGTTTTGTGGGTTTCCATCCAGTTGGGATTATGGCAAATGTTGTTTTACCAAGACATGATCCCATTTAGCAACTTGAGCATTTAGCTGATTATTGTGATTGGTAATGTCTGTGTTTCTAATTTTCCGGTTGCTCAAGTCCTAACTTGAACTTGGAGTGAAATCATACTTCTTCTATGTCCTGCTCTCAAAATAGCGAATATTCTCCAGTAGAAAGCACACTGGAAAATCCTGATTAACTTAAAAACATGTTTTGCACCCTCACAGAGAAAGTCTCTGTCCAGTTTGACTTGTTTTCCTTGGCAAAGCAAACTCTAAGGGCCATCAACAGCGCCAGTGTAACAAGGAGCAGCCCACAGCTCAGATTATTCCGTTTATCAGACACACAGATAGATGGAACTTTACAATGAACAGAGATGTGTGTTTCTTTCCATGGCGTTAATAGTTATAGTTATAATAGTGTCGATAAGTGGAGCTTTGTTGCAGCAGGGTGAGACGTTCCTTTAGAAGACAACAGATCTCCTAATTGTTTGGCAATAGTTGACATTTATGTCCAAAAAGATGAAAGATTTTCCTCCAGTTGGCTTGAGACATTCACTGAATGGAGTGAATCCAACACACTGTGGAAAGATTTGTTACCTGGTCTGCTCTGTGTCTCAAAAACCAGACAGAAGGAAGATTTTTGCTTGAAATCTACCAACTCTGGGGTGCATTGCTCTTGATATTATTCATAATATTCGCAGTAAAGGGTTTGTTGTCAAGAGTTTCATTAATCTCAACATATGATGAGAGAGACTGACTTCTGTGTGAGGTTATCTTCTGCACATCTGAGGGATTGGCAGCACGGTTAAGCTCAGCACTCTCTGGCGCCCAATCCAGATGAGATGTAGAAATGATGTCTCTCATAGTTTAAGCCCACTGAATCCGAGTGGAACTCAGGGCAGAAAAAAAAATCTTTAATGGAAAATTCTTGTTATTCAGGTAGTCCGCTAACTCTTGGTGCATAATTCTGTTCCAAGTAGGCCCGGACTGAGACTGAATCAGCCCTTGGTCCTAATACAGCCACCACAGTTTTATATATTTTTTTCTTTGCACTAGCTCTTTGGTTTGTGTTGCAGCTTGTTGCACTTGTGGCTGAAACACTAATCAGTTTTCTACCGCTCCAGTGGGAGGCCCTTATCTTCCGTCCTGTTGAATCCGGGTGGTGACTTTTTTCTGTGAGCAAAGGAGTCTACGTGGTCATGATATTTCCTTGGCTATCATCCACAGTGGTGGAGGAAAGAATTCAGGGAGCTTTAGGAATCAACTCCAAAGCCCAAATTCCTTGCCTCGTCTCCTCCTAATCCTGCTCCAGTCGAGAACCAATGAACGACAGCACAACACATCATTAATGTCACACACACAGAAAGGATAACGGTGACGAAACACCCCAGGATTACCTCCCCACACCATGTAATACACCTTGGCTTAAGGATATAAGTCTACAGTGATAAAAAATGCTCCACTGTTGCTTTCTGTGAAGTACTTGATTAATTCACATTTCTTTTGTCCACGCTGTCATATTTAGATGATAATGTAACCCAAGAGAAGTGCTCTTTGCTCATAATCCCACCTCGATTGGTGGATTTAAATGTCACCCCGTCCTTTGTTATGCTGATTGTAATTTAATTGTGGGTTAATGATTCTTTACACAGGCTGTTTTTTCCATCCCCGGCAAGTCAGCATGTAGAGTGGGGTTAAGCCTGTGGATGATAGGTAGGAGTGAGGGCGGAGAAGCTGTTCAGAGACTTAGTAATTACTGTTTCAATCGTACCGCACTAAGTCAGGCTAGACGCAACAAGCCTGAAATCATCCTGACAGGCCGGGGAAAGAGCTGAAATGAGAATGAGGTGAGAGTAAGGAAGGGGTGGCTCGGAGGAGGCAAGGGGGGAGGATTAGGAAAGGCAGGGAGTGAGGAAGAGAGACACATGAAGGGGACGTGGACGGAGCCTTTGCCAGCTCCAGCTTCCGCCGCCGTTTAGGTCCTGACGGATTTGCCCGGTCTTTCGCAGTCCGTCCATCCTTCTCCTGGCAGGACCAAAACACGCCGACACTCACACAAACCCACATCCACTTAACACCCGACGTGATCTCCTTGTTCCCGAATCTGCTGGTGTGTTTTCCACGGAGGGCATCAAAGAGACAGAGGCTTGCAGATCAAAGACTCTGCCTGTGCTTTTTTCCCGCTCAGCTCCTCTCGACTGTAATGCAAATGTGCGCCAGGCAATCGGGCCGCAAGACGCGTCTCTGCAGCCATCAGCCCTCCAACCATCCACCAGCCAGTGCAAACCTGCACGCTCCCCGTCCCCCTCAGTTAGGTTATTGGCTCCTCTGTCTTTTTCTCATCCTTCCTCTTTTCCATCCCCCCCTCTCAATATCGATCCTTCGAGTATTCTGAGCATTCATTTCTTTTTCTTTTTTTCCCTCTCAGAGCGAAAGAAAATGATCAGTTGCTATAGCCACTGCTTATTTTCTTTTTTTTTTTATAGTTGGCAGAGTTGTTCTTTGTGCTTGGGCAAGCAAAAGACACTTTAGTATGATTTCACTACAAATGTAATAGAATTTGCAAAGGGACACCGCAAATTGCCATGCAGGGCCTTACCACTGTGATGTAACAGAGATGAATCACGGCGTTTTGGTCCATTCTTCCAGACATAAAGTAAACCCAGTCTTAGACTGTGAGGCAGTCTACTTTATGTAATCCTGTAGGCTTGTTTAGAAGGATTTGTCATGACTGCAGGCCTACCTTGTAAAATTTCACAATTTTTTTATCTTTATTAATTGTTATTGTGGTCCCTATACTCTGCGGCCTACTGTGTCTGTGGCCAGGAGCAAACATTTTGATTTGGAGAATAAGTGAGTAAAACGTGCTCGTTTTTGTGAATTATGTATATTTCATTGACCTTTGAACTGGGAGTTCAGATCACATCAGGTGACTGTATCTGGGAAATGTAAACAATTAGAAATATGTTCACACATAGAAGTTGGATCATTTTTTTGTGTGTGCAAAACTAATCTAAACACAATCTAAACACAAATGTGCTAATGAGCTAATAGACTGTAGATTGCTTCTGTCTCAGGCACTTTTTACACACAGGGTAGAAATGTTATATACAGGGACTGGAGTTGCTGAGGCCCCTCCAACTCACCGAAGGGGTTATGGCCCCCAGGGTGCATTCCATTTGAATTTCATTTGAATAAAATGCATCATTACTTTTATGGAGAGGCCATGATGCTATATCAGTTGGACTGCTAAAAAAAAATACATGCAGAAGGAATTATTTTCATTTTTGATACTTATCCCCCAAGTATGAAATTACATTTCCATCTTACTTTCGTTGACAGACCCAGTAAAGGAAGTTAAAAAAGGTTTGAATGTTGAAAAGTGTTGGGTAGAGAATTGGAGAGTGGGAAAACAATCCTTGATTCTTTTAAAAAGAGGAGATAATACAAAAATATAGAGAAGGAATTTAAGAACTTTACATTCAATGGAAAGCTTTTGAAATGCAATTCTGATGCATGAAGTGAGGCTTTGAATGATATAAATAAGAGCTATTTCAAACTTAAAAACAAACTACTTTTCCCTTAAGATTTAAAGGATGCTCCTTTTGACAGAAAAGAAGTCTCAATACCACTAAATGCGGTAATCTTTTTTGCTCTGGCCCTACTCATATGTTTGACCACTGTGGCGGTGAATCCCCCTAGTCGCATGGTCATTTGTATGATAAAGCAAACTTTATTGTCTTCCTTGGAAAAAAACTGTCAGTTGCTTTGCATAGGAACATATAAACACCATAATAAAAACACATAAAATTTAGAATAGCACAAAGACTTACACGAAAACATAAAAGAAACATTAAAACATGCAGAGCCATT